CACCCCTTGGAACTGAAACGATAACCCACTCTCTCTCCCCGCATTAAATGCGCCCCACGTCGCATTAAATGACGTGATAATGGTCGTCGTTTCGGTTACGCTGCGCCACTAACGCTGCCAAACGGTGCCAGCTCAGCACGCGAGGCATTTAATGTGCCTGACAAGCTTTAACGCGCGCAGACCGCATGACAGCATGAAACCAGGTTCGTTGAATCTGTACAGAGGAGCGCCCCTCAGATCCAGGTCGCTAAGGGTCCTGTGCCGAGCTCATCCCATTCAGGTCGAAGCGACCAAAAAACTCCGACGTGACTTAGTTTCCAAGGTCCGACCCTCGAACCTTAAAAACTAGGGGGCTTCAAGCTCTGTTTAAGCACCAACACATATTAATACGGGAAGAGAGTTCACTTAAAATAAATAAATAAATAACGATTTGGAAAAACATAACTTCCCTATCACTAGGTTAAAATTTGGCATTGCTAATTAATATTGGTTCTTCTAGTCACTGACACATATCCGCGTCCAACTTGCACAGTCCGCGTTGTGACCTTTTGGTATTGCTACTTATTCAAAATAAAATCTTTTGAAATTCTTCCCTGTATGAAGAAACGCAGCAATATTGCAGATGCATGGAATTAAAATACTGAAACAGGTAATTAAAGTTGGGACCTTCACATGTGAGATTATTCAGCACCGTCATTTCAGCAGCACCAGTAGCATCCTATATATATTCTTTGATTTAAACAATATGGGGTCTACTGACGATTGACTCTTCTCTCTTCATCTGCCCATCATTAGTTTCATATTAATTAACTATATATATCTTATGAAAATTAACATACTTAATTTCAGTTGCTACCTAACTTCTGAAAGAGCTAGCGTCTAGCATTTATTTTTTAGAAAATATTTAATGTTTTATTATTATTATTATTATTTTATAATTAATGTGTACAAACTAATTTACACATCTCGACTAATTCTTAGAGGTGAGTAAAAGCAATCCACCAATATAACTCCAACTTAAATCTTGCGAGTCTATTTATTTTAACCCATTTAATGCTTGATTTTAACCTGAAAAACCTTTTGTCTAATGCAACTTATAAATAGTTGATCGGAAATGTGTACAAATGGATTCTAAATGTCAAAAGAAAAAACCCATTTCCCAGAATCAGATACACCTAATACCAATTTCATCACATGGAATTTTAAGATTTGGACAATACTACTATAAGATAAAGATCATTTATCTTTCTCTTGTTTGACCGATCGAATCTATCTGTCAAGAAAGCTTGACATGAATTCATATACAGCCCAAATTCTAAATATTCAATTCATTTCACTCTGCAAAGTGGCGCAGAGATGATCGTCAAATAAAAATATGTCCTTTGCATTAAAATCATTAATATGGGTAAGTTTCTTGAACGTCTCAAAACCTACTACGGTTTAAGCTTCCTCCTAATCAATTAGATTAACGTTCTAATAGCTAATATTATGCATCGCCCCCTTTGATAAAGGATAAGTAACATATTATGCCGATGCATTTATTAATTAAACGGATTTAAAGGATTTTTGATAGGAGAATTATGATAAGATGAACAACTCAGCTAACCCATTTAAGATGAACAACTCAGCTAACCCATTTAAAACCTTGCCGTCTTTGTGTCTTATTGGTAGTACCACAAAAATTACGGTATGAACTTCATTTGAATTAACATTATATATATCCAAGTACCCCACAAGTGTAACGCGGTGGAAATCAATGTGACCTAAGCCCTCACTATGAGTGTACTAATTTCAGAAAATCCCTTTGCTCATGATTTACACTATATTCCGCAATCTGATTGATTGATTGATTAACGGAACATATATAACAAACTTCAGATTGCATTGCATTAAAACTATCGTTTACTATTTCTTTACTTTTGGTATTGAGTTTTTGAATATAACTGATTGATTGATCTCATCATTATACAGCCACTTACCTTTATTGAAATGAGCACACGGCTAAGACTTCTTCATTTGGATTAACATTATATGCAACATTAACAAAGCCAGCATATATAATTTGTAACGATCCATAAATGAGAACTCTAAAGTACAAAACACTGAAACACATATACATTTTGGTCACTAATGATATCTAAACTGATTGTGCTCCTTAAAAAATAATAGAGCACTGCCCTGAACCTGAAAGAGCTACCTTGAAAACAAAAAATATGCAGAGATGAGTTCTCTCCTGAGGAAATTGACCTATTCAGTACTCACTTTTCTATGTTTCTTATGATGCAAAATATCTTCTAGTTCTTCAGGAAGACAAGGGATTTCCAAAACACCCTTCTGATGGAATCCATATTCCTCTTCAGCTAGCTCCAGTAAACTCAAGAATTCCGGGTTCTTCAGGATTCCCAACTCTACAATGAACCTCTTTGGTTCTTCACCCTTCACCGCAACAACTGCAACATGACCTTTCTTTACATCGTTTGGCAAATTTGCTGCACTCTCCTCTTCACCATCCTCAAGAGCATTGAGATCAGCTACAGCTCGAGATGCCGAGAAAAATCGACGACGTTGCAGCTTCGTTATGACCATCTTAAGCTTCGTTAAGCCTCTAATTCTCTCTTCCTTCATATCCATAGTGATTATGACAAAGAAATTCCTTGATACTATAAAAAATTCACGCGCTTTTAAGTACTCTTGTTGTGCTTTCTTTGGCCTTTTAATTATTTGGAGAGCGTCCAATGAAATTTATACAGGTTAGTGGAGGTGATAGGAAGTCAGCTGCAGCTTCTTAGAAATAGTAGCAAGGGGCCATTTCATGTCGATGCAACGTTGTATTATTTAATGCATATTTGATGATTCATCTCCCATGTTTTTGTATTTCTGCAACTGTGGGGCCTTTGAAAAGATTGGATACATTGTTTTATTTGTTTCCCATCTAGAATTATAGATTACCTTTTCTTCTCTTCTAATAAGTAATAATTGATGTTTCTCTTTTTCCCTCCCTCGTTGCTAGATTTGTGTGACCAAGTAACATTCATTCATGATACGTATCAAGATGAATGGAGAATGAAAATATAAAGTCACGCTTCACTTACGAATGAGTAGAGTGAAACTAAAACCAAAATAACAGTAAACATATAAATTATAAACAGTAAAAAGAATAAAAAAATACATATGATTTTACTGTGATTTATCCAATTAATAAATTACGCTCAACTGAGTCAATATTATTACAATACTATTTTACTTCTCTCTCGTTTACAATGAATATAATTTGTTATAACTTATTACAAGAGAAAAATATGTTTATGTATTAGGTTTAAAAGACTAAAACCTAGTATTATAATGATTTATATTCCTAAACCCAAACTCAATAATGAATTAATAACTTAAAAAAAATCTTCGATGAAAACCTTGAATGCGATTGCATAACCCATTAATATTGAAGTGATCAACAACTCTAACAACTTGTAAGTAGAATTAAACAAATTCATAATTCTTTTGGGTTATTTTAAAGCAAAATCTATATATCATGTTAATAAGTTTATTCATTCTTTTGCGTGTACAAAATAAACAAGACTAATGCTACTTCTAATCTCGCCGATAATACTGATCATTGAATTAGGATACATTATGCTTGGTGGGTGGAAGACCGAAGTTCATGTTATGTTTAAACTGATTTGAAATGCCCAAAAATGTTTGTCTTCATAATATTATAACAATAACAAATTAGAACAATTAAACTCATGTCTTTCTTATTTTCATTTTTGTAGAGAATTCAGCTAAGACGGCTACGTTTTCTTTGTCCCAACTCCCAAGTACCACAAATATGGTCCTTGCAACCGACGAAACAAATTTAAGTTGACTTGAAAGGTTTCTCAACATCGCTTTGAAATATTATTTATTGTGTTCAAACTGTCAGTGCTGTGGCACATTTGAATTCTGAATGGGTCAAGACTGAAACCACCGAACTTTGAAGAACAATGTACCTTCGTAAGGCGTCTGATTTGATGTGTTACCTTATCCAATGATGTGGTTTAAGTACTAATTACTGCTCTGGCAAGGCCTTAACCGCGCAGAAAAGAAGATAATGCCAATGAATATAACCATGCAGTGTATAACACGTTTCCTGGAAGAATTTAACCCTCATTAATTTTAAATTAATCACTTTCTATATACAGTATATGAAATACGTGTAATGGCGGTGGGGCATCTCTTATTATAATGCCAGCTCATGGCTGGCGTAAACCTAGATAAATGTGGCTGGCATCTGCCTCTTTCAGCTGAATTAAAGTTAAAGACTACGTATAGCAGGTTAATTGTCTGTATCTGCATGCTACGAAAGCAACTTATTCACCTCCTCTTCAGCCTGTTAATTTAGCCCATCAAGAAGTCTCCACCATCATAACCGAGAGAAACGACCTTTATGACAATGAGAAGAGAAAATGAGAGGGAAATTAAACAATATTCTTTTATTTATTTATTTTTTTTTTATTGGTAGCTCGATAGAACGATGAGAATTTATTGAAAATAATAAAAAAAACAAATATTATTGATGCATGATTTTGACACTAACGACTCACATTTGCAAAAGGTTAAGCTGTTCTTAGAAATTACATATGATTAACTGATTTGAGAGTCAGGACAAGGTTAAACAATATTATCGAATGCAAAGACTGAATAATAAATGAGAGAGATGATTTTTAAAGTGGTTTGGATGCCTAAAGCGATTCCTACGTCCACTGTTTCTTTATATATATACGAGAGTTTACAAGAGATCGCATATAGCGAACAGCGAGCAGAGGTACAATAACTGAATATTCAGAGAGAATATCAAGTCAATCTCTTTCTCGTAGGTTGTCTTTGCTATTGATTGCTTATGAAAGTAAAGATTAGAGATCCCGAAAATGAGAAGGGGAGTCCTCTATTTATAATAGCTGAATTCAAGGTAATGATTACAAATCTACAAGTGGGTACATGCCGTGCAAGTCCTTCCTTGCCTCCCATTGGCTAATAACTTGAGAAATATCCTCAAATTATCTAAGGCTTGGACAGGTGTGCGGTCCTCATTCAGTCATAGACAAAACTTGAATCTGTTGGGTTGATGACAACCGTGTCCTTTTTGTCTTGAGGGGACGTGGCAACTCCTGGACGACACAAAGCCTTCCTGAACTCTGATTGGTGCTTACTGATATAAGCTTATGTCAGCCCTGATTTTTTAGGCATAACAGAAGCTCCCCAATTCTTAAGGTTCAAGAATTGAATCTTGAGAACTTCATGATTATGCCGCGACCTGACTTGTTTCCAGAAATGTCTACTCAAGCCAACAGTTGAAAATAGCCACATCGTTACAAACGACAGGAGGCTGATGGCTTGATTCGACCAACGAACTGAGTGTAGATCGTGACATGGATTTTGAGAGTTACACAAGCGACCTGACGTGATCATGTACAGAGGTCCAACGACCTGAGCTTGATCTTGTCCAATGATATTAAAATGTTTTTTGGACTTTAGCTGCCATTCACGACCTGAAAACACTTAAAACATTTTGCTATCGAAAACTGAAAACCATCTTGTTCGATGCTCAAGTTTGACATGTTGAATGAATGTCTTATTTGAACGATCTATTCAGATGTTATCCGTTGTGCTTGACAGCTAGCTTGGTGAATAAAACAAGCTTTATTTAACAGATGTGTCTCTGTGCAATAAGTGTCAGCCATGAGCATTAAATGCAAGCCATGTTGAAACGACATTCCCTTTCGAAGTATTAAATGCGAATGAGGGCATATTTAATGTGGAGGAGATAATCACACCAGCGCTTGGCAATTTCGATAAAGAGAAGCACCAGTTGATCTTCACGAAGATCTTCATGCGGATTGGCAATACGTGGTCGCAATCAACGGTTGGAAGCGTGTTCTCGCCCAAACGTCGCTTATGAAAGAAGCCAAGCGTCGCCTTCCTCCTTATAAAACCCATCCTAAGTTTTTTTCAAGAAACTTACAATTTTGGAGAGAAAACAACATTTTCAAACTTGAAAAAATCAGTTCATCCTCTTCTCGGTTAATGTACACTCAAAGCCACAACAGAGCATCCATTCTTAGCAATCAAGAGATAAATAAATTTCTTCCTTTTTCTCTTTTTTCCATTTTTGTCAAAAAACTTAGTTTTTATAATAATGGTGGTCGTGGTGTTTGGTAGACTTAGGTGATGAACACTTCGAGGCAGTGTTTGAAAGAAACACTTTTAAGAGTTGAAACTTAGAGCATAGATCTTTAGAAAATCATTCTCAAGAGTTTTTAGGGTTTATAAAAGCTTTGGCGGCTATGGAAGAGAAACCACGGTTCTTTTACTCTTCTGAGTCATCGTATGAGGTAGATTATTCAAGGTTTGAGTCACCCCTACATGTCAAACCTTTACAGACTCAAAGGGTAATGGACATCCCTGAGATGAGAACAACTAGATAAGGAAGCTCGCAACCACCGGGCACCTCGACAGGTCCCAAAAAGGTGATACAATCTACCGTCACAAAGGAAGAGATTCAGAAAGCAATAAACCAGTACATGATCGACGTAGATGTGTATCGATACAGGTTGCACACTGCTCAAGATCCTCTCGAGTAAATGGTCGCGATCTCGGAAGCGATCTTCAAATGTGGACCCCTACATCAGGTCAATCCTTGACCACTTCCAGGTCATGCCATTCCAGCTGATGCCAAATGCATATCTGATAGTGGTTGCTATGTATATTGCATTTGGCAAGCACAACCTCGTACTAACTCTTCAAGCAATTAACGATCGAGTGAGGGATATTTGGTTACCTCAACAACATGGGGGCTTATGAAATCAAATTTTTTTTCTTCCAGTACGATGGAGTCTATAAATTTAAGGAACCAAGTAGGTTTTCCTTTTAATTTCCAGATCGCTCATCTTTTAACTTTAACTTTTCTTTACAATATTAAGCTAACGAACTCTTTGCTTCCTTGCAGGAAATAAAATGACCATGTTGTCGGTGCTAGCTGATTGCAATCACATCGAAGCGTTTGGTCGATTGCCCAACTAAAGTCAGGACGCAAAGCTGCTTGTGACTATTGCCAATCTTCGTAGATACAAGTTTTTCACTCCCGACGCATACTTGGACGACTTAGCTCGTAAGTATTTCTTATATAGAACATACCCAAGTCTTTTTAACAAAAGTAGACTCTTTTTACTGACATGTCCGTATGCTATACAACAGCCATGCCACCAAAGATTAAGAAAAGGTCGAAGAAGTATGTGGTCACATTCCCCAGACTGAATCCAACTGGAACAGCTGGAGCGACCTCCAGCAATGTCCCCATTATGAGAAAATAACCTAGTGCCGAAATTCAACCACCCGCGGAGCGACATGAAGAAACTCTGCAGCCTGCTGCTGCTCGTCTATCGAGAAAAAAGACTATGGGCTTGAAGACAAAGAAAAGGAAAACACTACCAACCAAAAAAGAAACCGAATTGGAATCAGAATGCTTCGGGATACTGCCGAGCGGATTATAGCCTTATCGACCTTTTTCTTCAAAGGCTGCCCCATAGGGCGCTCCTAGAACTTTGCGAGCAGGAGAGAGTACCTTGGCAGCAGGTGAGGTCGTGGCCACTTAAAGG